TATCCACAGAAAGATTAGAAGTTCAGATTTACAAAAACAAATTTCTTCATTAAAACAGGAGGTTCGGGACCAGCAGGTGGCGTGGTGGTTAAGGTCTGGACACTCCCACATGGCCCACCATAGTTTGAGTCCCGGAACTCGTGGCTTCCTTTCTCACTTTCCCTCTCTTTCTCTGTGTCTCTCTCTGGCTAAATTAAAATAAATGAATGAATGAATCAAATTAAATAAATAATTCTTTAAAAAACAAAAACCAGGAGGCTCAATAAGATGTCCCTGAACATGCCAGGACATACCTCAGCTTTAAAATGGCTTCTTGTCTGAATATTTTGGGTGTCTAGGAGATGGAGGCTCAGGTGTTTTTCAAGCAATCAGGTCCAGGAGTCGAACCTTGGCTAGCCATGTGAGAATCCAGAACCTTAACAGTGATGCCATCTGCTGGCCCTGCCCTTTTTTACCATGTTAGTTTGTAGGAAGGTGCATCCTGCCTTTCTGATGCAGCTCCTAGCACCTTCGCATGAGCCTCACGGCCTGGTCTCTGAGGCTTGGGTGTACGCTGTGCGGGACTGTCTGCTGGGGCAGGTTGAAGGGGTTGTGCTGGGAAGAGGGTACTAGAAGGGGATTGCTGATTGTTTTGGACATACTGCGGTGCAGTTGTACAGTGTGTGCTGGAATCTTTCTTGAACTAGTCTTGATTTTGACAATAATACTGCAGAATTGACCAAACTTGAGTACTGTTACTTAGGAAGAATTCAGTGATGCCTGAGGGGAGGCAGCTGCTTTGTTTTCTATCACTCTGGTCAAACCTCCTGAAAACAGCTACAGAGTTCCTTTGCGACTTTGCTGCTGGCTGTGCTCACGCCTTCTCATCCATTGCCTGGCACAGTCCAGCCTAGCCCCCAGGAACCCCCAGCACCACGTAGGTTATCTGTGATGTCGGTGGGACATTTTAAAGTCCATCTTCAAGAAGGGTAAGAATAGAGAAGTAGCCAGGAAGCACAGCAGATACCGATCTGGGCACATCCTGAGAACTCAGAACATGTTTGTTGTGTTCACTTCCAAGTCTCTGTTTCTTTTCTTTCTTTTTCTATGTTTGTTGATTTTAGTTTGCTATAGAGCACGTGCAGCTGCCAGAGAGAAGTTGAGAGGGAAAGTGAGAATCACCCTCCAGTGGAGATGGCCATGCTGCAGTCCCCTCTCCTCCGTTCTTCTCTGGGGATTCTGGGCATGCACACACATGTGCCTGGCATACTTTTGTTTTTTTGTTTTTTGTTTTTTTGAGAGGTTTTTTGCTATAGGGCATGTGTGCTGGCCAGGAAGCTAGAGAGAGACAGAGAGGCAGAAAGCAAGAAATCACTTCCCGAGGGGATGGCCACGCTGCAATCCCTTCTCCATTCTTCTCTCGGGATCTTGGGCATGCACACACACACGCCTGGCATGAGTTTAAGCTGCCAGGTCCAGGACTCAAACCACAGTCGACTACATGGGAGTCTAGCAACATAGCCATTATGCTAATTGCTGGTCCCAACCTGGCATTCTTTTTAAGATGTTGGGTCTGGGACTTGAACCATGCAATGGGCCGTGTGGGATCCAGCTCCTTAACCTCCAGGCCACCTGCTGGCCCTTGTTCATGATATTTTTTAAGGCCAAGTATATCTCATTTCAAGTATATACAGGAGTTAAACTCATCACTAGTGCCTAAACCCACTTTGCTGTATGCATCTACTCCCATTTCACTTCCACGCACATATCCAGGTGCAGGTGAGATACTTGAGTTGTATCTCACTTTACATCCACCCTTAGACAGTTGGTAAGTGGTCCTGCACCCTGGCATCAGGCTGGGGGAGAGAAGAGAAAGCAAAGACAGCCACTACCTGCGTACGCACCTGTCTGGCGAGGATCTGACTAGATGGTGTTATGCTTCGGACAGACTTCACGGAGATGATGAGAGCCCTGGGATACCCTCGACACATCTCGATGGAAAACTTCCGCACGCCCAACTTTGGACTTGTGTCTGAAGTGCTGCTCTGGCTTGTGAAAAGGTTAGCGCTGTCTTTTATTGCAATCTGATTCATTAGCCACCCAGAAACAGGGTGCAGTTGTGATGCAAAAGGGAGAGATCAGTGAAATTTGACAGGCGGACTCCATTGGAGCCCTTGAACTTCAGCTGAGTTTAAAGAACGCTGTGGGAGGGGTCAGCAGGTGGCATAGCATTTACACCACTGGACTCCCACGTGGCCGAGTGTGGTTTTGAGTCGTGGACCTGGCGTCTTGAAACTCACACGGGGTGCATGTGTGTGCGTGCCCAAAATTCCAAGAGAAGAGTGAAGGAGAAGGGATGGTGGCATGGCCATGCCCCCTGGGGGCTATTTTTCACTTTCTGTCTGTCTCTCCAGTGAGTGCATGCACCTAATAGCAAAAAAACCTTATACATTAAAAAAAAAAAAAAAAAAAAAAAAAGAGGACATTGTGGGAGAGAAATTTTGGAGGCTGTGTGAGAGGACTGGAGTCTGCTGGATGGTGCTGGCCCAGTCTCTTCATCCCCTCAGCTCAGGGTGACAGGGACCTCCATGCACAATTTAATCAGTACACAGGACTGGGAATCATGTGCACTTCCCTAATATGATTGACAACTTTTTTTTTTTTTAATTTGTAATAGGATGCAAGCACTCACCAGAGAGAGACAGGGAAACTGAGAAACCCCCCCCGTGGGGGTGGGGGGAGCATGCTGCTCTCCTTTCGTCTCTTAGGATTTTGGAAATGCATACACACATGTCTGACATGTTCTTTCAAGCCACCAGATCCAAGATTGAAACCGTGCGGGCGGCTGTGTGGGATCCATCCACTTTGACCACCATACTACTGGCTGGCCTGGCAACCTTTTCTGTTAAGAGCCAGACAGTAAATCCTTGACTCATTGCTACACATAAAATTCAGACTGCATGTGCTCTCTGTAGCATGTTCTCCTTTGTTCTTAAAACTCCATTCTTAGCTTGCAGGCTGTACAGAAACAAGTCAGGGGCTGCTGACTGCTGGCCGCTGATGAATTGTCCAGAGCTAGAAGGAAGACTTCAACAGCTCTGCTGCTTCTCAAAGCTAGCTAGCCCTGGTGTTTTTCTCTGGGCTAAAAACCGTTAGTGGAAGTAACAGTTCTGATTATTTTCAGGAAACCTTGAAAGCTGAGATAGACTTAATTTTTTAGAGAGATTTTTGCTTGCCAGAGAGAAGAGAAAGACAGAAAGCAAGAAATCACCCCCAGGGGTATGGCCACACTGCGATTCCTTCTCCTCCATTCTCCTCTCAGGATTTTGAGTGTGTACATACCTGTGAGTTTTAAGCCACCGAGTCTGGGACTTGAACTGTAGTCAACTATGTGGGAGTCCAGCGATGTAACCATTACGCTATCTCCTGGTCCCAAGATAGACTCAATTTTGTAAGCTCAGCCCCACATTTGATTTTTGAAACCAATTAAACCTGTTCTTAGGTGGGGATGGCACTCTTGGCATTTTATGTTGCACTTTAAGTTTTTCTTTTTTAAAAAAGAATTATTTGTTTAATTTTAGTGGCCATTATTATTTTTTAATCTGACCAGAGAGAGACAGAGAGGAGGAAAGTGAGAAAGCAAGCCACCAGGTCTGGGATCTGAACCACGGTGGGAGTCCAGAGCCTTAATCACCATTCCACCTGCCAGCCCCAGCATTTGAAGTTTTCTTTTTAAAGAATTATTTAATTTTTTTTTAAAAAATGGTTATTATTTTTTAATTTAACCAGAGAGAGAGAGAGGGAAAATGAGAAAGCGAGCTGCCAGGTCTGGGACTCAAACCCTGGTTGGCTATGTGAAGTCCACCTTAACCACCATGCCACCTGCTGGCCCCCGAGTTTTTCTTAGTTGTACTGCACTTAGCCGGGAATGTGGCTAGCCTTGCGTTGTAGACCCACTTGCTGCCTGAGTAACTTATGTTCGTCCTCTCTTTCTCTAACAGGTATGAACCTCAGACTGACATTCCTTCTGATGTTGAGACTGAACAAGACCGAGTGTTCTTCATTAAGGCGATTGCCCAGTTCATGGTTAGTGGATGGTGCTTCTCTGCAGTTGCAACATTAAATGAATTAGGAAGGATGAGTCCATTTTGCTTTCAGACCGAGAAACCGAGCTCACTTTCTAAAAGCATTGTCAGGTTTCTGTGGAACCATTTTGCCAGCAGAGATTTTTAGTCTCTTGTTTCTCCATTCATTATTTGTTAAGAATTCTGTCTACATATTCATATATTTCCATTTTGAATGGGTAATGTATTTCCATAGATCAAAATTTTTTGAATCACCAAATGATAAACGGTAAGATGACCTACATTGGCTGCCGTTGGCCTGGTGCCCTCTCCAACACCCACTACTTCACATTTCTTCCAGAGTTTGTTTAACATTTGCAAAAAAAATACGCATTCTTTGTTTCCCTTCTTTTACGCCAGTGGTAACAGACTGCACTGCGGGTTAGCATCGTGCTTTGTCTCAGTGGTATATTTTTGAGAACTTTCTAAATGCTCATAGGTCATCCTCACTCTCCTCTGTCCCTACGTAGCATGGTGAGTGTGGGTATACCACAGACTGTGTAATGACACACGTAGGCATTGGGGTTGTTTCCAACTTCGGTTTTTTGAAACAGTGCTGGAATGGATAACCTGTATTTATCATTTTGTCTATGTTAGAATATCCCTAGAGGTACCAGTAGATGGCGTAATAGTTACGCTGCTGGATTCCCACACAGCACCTGGTGGCTTGAAGCTCATGCCGGGCATGTGTGTGTGGGTCCCCAAAACCCTGAGAGGAGAATGAAGGAGAAGTGAGCTCATGCGCCCTATAACAAAAATCGCTCTCTCTAAAAATAAGAATATCCCTAGAATAAGTTTTAGGATTGGAATTGCAGGATCAAAAGATACGTGCATTTGTAATTTGGAGGTCTTTGATCAAATTGCTCTCCATCGAGACTGTGCCAGTTTACCCTCCTGCTCACAGCATGTGCATCGCTGAATATTCTGTTCTTAGTATTAAGTTATACCCCAACTGTTGGCAGAGACATTCTCACATTGCTTACATGGGACTTGGTTTGGACGTTACATGGAAAGGGCCTTCATTGTGTGTGTATGTGTGTGTGTGTGTGAAAACAGGCCACCAAAGCACATATAAAACTCAATACTAAGAAGCTTTACCAAGCAGATGGGCATGCAGTGAAAGAACTTCTGAAGATCACGTCTGTCCTTTACCACGCTATGAAGACCAAAGGGATGCAGGGCTCTGACATAGGAGAAGAAGATGTCAGCAAGTTCAAGTTTGACCTTGGCTCCAAGGTGAGGAAGATGCCAGGCTGGTGGGAGGGGCAGGGCGTTTCTCTCTCAGGCCCCAGAAGGGAGGTCATCAGGGAGCTGCTGTGAGCTCATGCGCCCTATAACAAAAATCGCTCTCTCTAAAAATAAGAATATCCCTAGAATAAGTTTTAGGATTGGAATTGCAGGATCAAAAGATACGTGCATTTGTAATTTGGAGGTCTTTGATCAAATTGCTCTCCATCGAGACTGTGCCAGTTTACCCTCCTGCTCACAGCATGTGCATCGCTGAATATTCTGTTCTTAGTATTAAGTTATACCCCAACTGTTGGCAGAGACATTCTCACATTGCTTACATGGGACTTGGTTTGGACGTTACATGGAAAGGGCCTTCATTGTGTGTGTATGTGTGTGTGTGTGTGAAAACAGGCCACCAAAGCACATATAAAACTCAATACTAAGAAGCTTTACCAAGCAGATGGGCATGCAGTGAAAGAACTTCTGAAGATCACGTCTGTCCTTTACCACGCTATGAAGACCAAAGGGATGCAGGGCTCTGACATAGGAGAAGAAGATGTCAGCAAGTTCAAGTTTGACCTTGGCTCCAAGGTGAGGAAGATGCCAGGCTGGTGGGAGGGGCAGGGCGTTTCTCTCTCAGGCCCCAGAAGGGAGGTCATCAGGGAGCTGCTGCTTTCCTCCCTCCTTGGCTGAGGGAGTCAGTCCGTCTTGTGCTCAGCGCACTTGGGTTAAGGCAGAGTCACGGTAAATTCAGTCTGCTGAAAGCCCGGTGTTTTCCAGGCAGCGTTCAAGTGCCGGGGAGACAGGAGTGAACAGAAGGGGCAGAAGCCGTGAATTCTGGTGCTTGGTTGGGGCAGACTGCCTGGAGGACAGTGTGAAAGGTGTGGAAGTTTGGACAGTGAGTGTGGGTGGGGGAGTCTTAAATAGGGTGACCAGGAAGGCTCGTGGGTTGGGCGGTGCTTTCGGCAGGAATCCGAGGGAGAGACGGACAAGCACACAGGTGCACGTGTTGCAGGGGGCATGTCACATGATGAGAATTTGCTTCGTATGTTTGAGGCAGAGCAAGGAGGCCATGTGGTAAGAGCAGGGCACAAGCGACAGACCCTCTCTCCCCTGGAGAGCTAGGATGGAAAACATTGGGTTTTGAGCAGAGGTGTATGTGCTTAGGATTTCCTACTAAAAGCCTCACTCTGGCCATGGTGCAGTCATCAGACTGTGGGTGGGACCAAGAGTGGAAGCAGTGTGCTCGTCAGCAAGCAAGGGATGACCAGCGCTGCGAGCCGTGTGTCCACAGAGAGGCACTGTCGGAACTGGCTGGCCTGTTGGATGAAGGAGCCAATTCAAGCAGAAGGCAAGGTGAAAGGCCAGCCTTTCATCCCTTCCAGTGCTGGCAAGGATTCAGACCTGAGAGGAGGGCCGACTCCCCAGGTCCTCTTCCCTGGGCAGAACCCTCCCTCTGGTCGAGGGTCAGGAGCATTTGTGCAGACCTGGAGGCATCTCAGTGTTGGAGGGGCTCCCTCAAAGGGCTCGGGCAGTTGTGTGGGCTCTGAGATAGAGGAAGGGCGAAGGGGAAGGGCTGGGGTGGAGAAACCCTGGGTGCTAAGTCAGAGCGGAGAATGGGCTTTGAGGTCCCTCAGCCCCATAAGGTGGGTTCGGCAGAGGGATCTGAAGAGGACCTTGGGCCGTGACCTCGTGTGTAGAGACTTAGGCATGACCAGGCCAGGGGCCCTGGGCCTTGACCGCAGCTCCCTTCAGAGTCTGTAGGGCATTGGTTGTGCCCCGAGTCTGTAGGAGGGCAGCTTCCCCTGTGACGCCTGCTGGGTAAAACCTTGTTGCCCGTGGTCAGGCCTGAAAAATCCCACATTGGTTTTGAACCAGGAGCCAAACTCCTCAGTGAAGAGAAACGGCTACAGGTTAGGTCCTGTTGGGAAGTCGCTTTTATAGGACTGGATGCGGGCTGAGGGTAGGTGAGGCCCGGGAGCAGCTCAGGGCAGCACCTGCGGTAGAGCTGCAGCCCTGGAGGCCGTGCCCTGAGCCCGCTGCTGTACAGGATGGCGGCCGCTGGCCGGAGGTGGCCCGCACCTCTGAGGAGCTGGGTTCTGATTGTACTTCATTTTAAATAACGGCGAAGAGGACCACACGTCATAGAGGTGGCTCATAGATGTGTGGCTTTGGCAGTGCCGTTCCGAGCCCCGAAAGGATGAAGCTGCTGTTGATGGGGCGGAGGTGGGTCTGGAGGCTGGGGCGGGTGGGTTGGAGTTCAGCTCTGCCACCGTTTACACTGGGTGCTGCTGGGTGCTGATGGAGAGTGGGACAGGTGGTGGCAAGGCAGGAGTCGGGAGGGCCCCCGGGGGGCCAGGGGCTGGGCCGTCACCGTTTACTGGGTGCTGCTGGGTGCTGATGGAGAGTGGGACAGGTGGTGGCAAGGCAGGAGTCGGGAGGGCCTCGGTGGGCCTAGGGTCTGGGAGGATCAGCACAGTGGTCAGGAGCCATGCCTGGGGGACAGGGAGGAGTCCAGGACTGGGACCCGGGCACACTCCAGTGGGAGGTGGGGGAGGTGGGAAGGGCTGGAGCTGGAGGCGTGCGTCCTGGAGGACTGAGTTGGAGGAAGGGAAAGCGGAGGGTGGACCAGGAGGGACAGTTGCTGCTGGGCTGTGAACCAGGGAGAAGGCAGGAGTCGGTTGTTCGGGGTGAGGGCGGCTTGTCCGGGCCTTATGGAAAGGTCACGTGTTTGTGGAGGAGGGAGTGACATGCGCGCCCTGAGGAAGAAGCCTGTGCAGAGGGCTCGGGGTGGGTCGTCCCCAGAGCGGCATTCTCGGCTTCTCGGCAGTGGCTGTCCCGCTGGGAAGCCCGGCTTGTCAGTGGGTGAGCCTTGCGGCATCCCAGGGAGGAAAGGCTCATGTGGGAATGGGAAGGTGAACCGCAGGCCCCCAGGATGCTTGGTGGGCCGCGTGTCCTTCAGGCTGACCGTCCCTTGGCCGCGCAGTCATGGCGGGGTGCTGCTGTGACCTAGCCCTGTAGAAGCCCTGTAGCTTCCCCCCCTGCACCGCCCTGTCGTCCACACACCTGACTCCATGTTACGTTTTCAGAGACCCGGGGTTCCGGGGGTCGGCCTCATTTGTACTTAGATCAGCGCTTCTCATCAGGGGTCGTAGGTCAGCTGAGGCTGGGGAGAATGTGCCGTGCTGCCCAGTCTCCCAACGGGAGGCAGTAGTCGAGATGGGGTATCAGGTGCCTAAAATCGTGTCACCAAGGTTTCTGTGTCTGCTGTTTGCCTTCCAGATTGCTGATCTGAAAGCCGCCAGGCAGCTTGCTTCCGAGATCACCTCCAGAGGAGCGTCCCTGTACGACTTGCTGGGCAAGGAGGTGGAGCTGAGGGTGAGCCGGGCCGGACGCCACTCACTTCCCTAGCTCAGCCGTTTCTCCTCAGGCTTTCCCTTTTCAGTTCTGTGTCTCTCGTTCTTGCTGTTTTATTGAACCGAAGCTGCGTAAGTGCAGGCTGTGTGGGAAGTGGGCTGGCACAGTAGCTGCTCTTCCTGCTCCTGTGGGCTTCAGCGCCTGTAGCTTCTGGCCCAGAAATGGCGCATCGTGGCGTGTGCCAGTGTTCCCAATGCCCTGGACGGACGTGCCGTGTTGCTTTGTCCCGTGAACTCAGCCTCAGCGTCCTTCTCTACGTAGAGCTCTTCTGAGCCGGTGCTTCCCAAACCTCGCTGCCCGGTGGCATTATCAAGCATCTGAAAGGCCCGCTGGAGCCAGGCTTCCATTTTGATGTCCTCATTATGGAACATGACTTGGGCACTAGGAGCGTAGGAGCGTTGGCAGTCTCCCGGGTGTTCTGACGCACAGGGTTCGGGCCAGCATCCGCGACAGTCACTCCCAGTCAGTGAGTTGAGGATTCCCCTGACCTCACTTAGATTCCTTACTGTAGCGAACTCCAGCCAGGGAGCCCATACCACGTGCCACCTTTAAGCAACTGTTTAAGTGTGTATGCTAAAGCCAGCAGGTGGCATAGTGGGTATGGTGCTGGACTTCCAAATGGCTGACTGAAGTTCGAATCCTATACCTGGAAAATCACTCCAGGCATATGTGTGTGCCCAAAATCCCAGGAGGAGAAGGGATTGCAGCATGGCTATTCCCCTGGGGGGTGATTTCTCACTTTCCCTTTCACTGCCTGTTTCTCTCTGGCAAATGCATGCACCCTGTGGCCAAAACCTAAAATATAAGGGGAAAAAAAAGAGTGTGTTTGTGTTTCCTGGGTGGGCCCCACAGTACAGTAGGCATCAGATCCCACATAGGCAACCACTGTTCGAATCCCAGCCCTGGCAGCTTAAAATTCAGGGCCAGGCACTTGTGTGATTGTGCCCCAAATCCGGATGGGATAGAACAGTGGAGGAAAAAGGATTGTCCATGCCCCATCAGGGGGTGCTTTCACCCTCTCTCTGATGAGCACACGTACCCTCTGGCATTGTGGGGGAAAGTGTGTTTTCTAAACTTTGGTGAAGTTGGACTCATTGATGTGAGTCCAGTACAGATGAATCCGATTCCCATACTGATGAATCAGAATGTCTGCGGCCAAGAACCAGGCATTGGCTTTAGAAAGGGTCCGGGAAGGCTCCGGGTGATTTCAGTGAGCAGCCGGGTTTGGAAGCCACTAGTTCAAGAAGACACGGAGTACTGCTTCATCCTTACCTGCAAGGGTCATGGGCATGAGCCATGTATGCTGTGTAGTGTCTTTAAATGAAACGAATCTCTCACTCGGTTCTTGTCAGACATGTCTGCCAGGACCCTCGCTCACTGCCCTGCCTGCGTTCAGGCATCGCTGCTACCGCGTGATGTTTTTTTCTGCCTCCTGTTTGTTTCTGTCTTAGGAGCAACCTGGAGGGGGAGGTATGAGGAAGAGGGGCTCGGGTGCCAGGTCACCATTTTTGCTATCCTTACGTTGGGCTAGTATTGCCACCTGATGGAATGTGGTTGGCAGAGAAAAACTGCCACTCGCATCTTTGGTAGATGACAGGTAGGTACATGTTCCTAGGAGACCCAGGGGCAGGAGCTGAGGCTTGCTAATTGCCAGTGAAGTTGTGGAAGCATTGGAAGGCTTCCCCTGCATTCCGCTGGTGGCTCCTCAACACACCCTGTAGGGGATGATGATGAGTCAGTGACCAGCTGTCCCCAAGGACACCACGAGGCCCTAGATACAGCGCTTACCAAATTCTGTATCTACTGACCTGAGGACGATCCCTGTGTGATATCTGTTTTTCATGCACTCAGTACACCCAAAATGGGTGGCTGATAAAGAGCAGAAACTGATTTCGCACAGTTCTGGAGACTGGGAAGGCCTAGATCCAAGTGCCAGCAGATTCGTGTCTGGTGAGGGGCCATTTCTTCTATATGGTTGCTTCTTGCCACATAGTAAAATGGCGAAAGAGTGAGGGAGCTCTTGGGGTCTCTCCTATAAGGTGCCAATCCTGTTCATAATGGCACCACCCTCGTAACCTGATCACCTGCTGGAGGCCTCCCCTGCTAATAGTTACATTGTGGGTTAGGAATTCAACATAGGAATTTGCAGAGAGACACATTCAGTCTATAGCAAAACTCCTAACTATGTCCATATTAAAATCCTATGTTCTAGAAGATTCCAGTATTGATATGATAGTCACAAAAGCCTCCTTTGATGGGTTAATGGTTAACACTGGAGGCGGGGCCAAGCTAACCATTCTCACCAATCGTATGTGAGATGACAGTGTAGAGAAAGCTGGTAGAGGCCCGTAGGGAATGCAGACATCAGCTTGTGCTGTGCTCTGTTTGGGGGTCGCCTGGAGGGAATGTAGGTAATGAAGCGAACCTGGGAGAAGAGGCGATGGATGCTAAGTCTGGTTTTGCCCACCGAGCTAGAGGCACAGGGGTCTGCCTGAATGGAAGAGAGGCCAGCCAAGAAGGTGGACAGATTCCGGAAGATCTTTCTAGGAGGTGATGATGGGACGGCTTTATATCATTAATCTGCATTGTAGTGAAGCTTTTGAGAGTCAGTCCATAAGCCGTGTCTGAATCTAAGGATGTTGGTTTTAAGGACTCCTTTTCTAAAATACATGCAAATCGTCTTATTATTTCCTCTAGGAACTGAGAACAGAAGCCATTGCCAGACCTCTGGAAATAAACGAGACTGAAAAAGTGATGAGAATTGCAATAAAAGAGATTTTGGTAAGATTACTTTGCTTTTGTTTAATGTTTTTATGCCTGGGACTCAAAAATACCAATTGCCTGCCTGCAGTGACAGAATAAGCTAATCCCAGTGACAAGGGATATGTTTGTAGGGAACTGG